TTGTTGTTGTTGTTGTTGTTTTACGGTGTTATATTCACTATTTTTATAGATTCAGGGGAAAAAATGGAAGCAAACTGTGTTATTGTGACAGCCTGTTTGTAACAAGATGTCAAGAAATTCTCATTAAAAACAGGTTCTCTGCTCAATTTCCTGTCATGTGTCAACACAACACATAGCTATTGCTTGTGTTCAGAAGCTTTTTGTGGCTAAAAGATTCACAGATCAGAGTTTGGAGACTTAACAAACAAACAAAAGTATTACCTCTAAGAAACTGAATGGACAGGAAATTAAAGAAAAGCCGATTTAAAAAAAACACTTTGATCACCAGAAACAAAGTATAAGGGAAAGAGAAACGGCTTAAGTGTTACGCACAGTTCTTCTGGAAAGTCTAGCCCTTAATGGGAACTGCATCATAAAGGTCAAAACTAATAACTTGCTTCAGTTGTGTTGTGGAACAAACAGGGTCTGTGATTTGTGAGCACACAGTAATGAGCTGGTGGAGTGTGACAACTTGAACACAGTTTGCATGAATCTCACATTTCTTGCTATATATAATGGAGGACGAAGAAGGGGGTGGATTTTAAATATTGAAAGTCTGAACAACAGTTTGATTACAGAAGTGGACAGAAGCTAACCCACTGAGTCTAAACTAATAGCTCTATTTGTTGTAATATAATTAAATTCGACCTACAATGCATCATTTTATATTGCTAACATTTCTTGCAGTTTACTTGAAACAAATGCATTTGAAGTATAAATTGATTTGTAACAAGGACCTGCATTTTTTTTCTCTGTTGCTTTAGATTTTCATTTTATGCTCCTTTACCGCCCTCTTGTGGCTGTTTGGTGAAATCACATATCAGGTTGGTTCCACAGGTGGTAAAACAAAAAATACGCTTCAGTATTAAAATAAAGCTCATGGTTGAGAAAAACTCACATTAATCTCTCTCATGATTCAAGTATTTGTTATTGGAAACGTTTTCTTTGATATATGAGTTACAAAATAAATTTTACAAAGCAGACTTCTTTACATAAAAGTAAAGTTGAATCTTTAACGCCATAACTATTATTA